GTGTGTGTGTGTGTGTGTGTGTGTGTGTGTGTGTGTGCGTGCGTGCGAAGCAGTATGAGGTTTGTTCCTTGTAAGTGTTAACCCTCTACTGCGACCATGTCCATATTTATCATATTTAATCACCCCGCAGCGACTGCCAACGCATCACTAAAGCTTCCATCTGTCAGCAAGCAGTTGTGTTACATGACTGAGTCAGCCTGCAGCTTCACTGTGTTCATATTAAGAAAAAGAAAATGAGGTGCGCTTAAAATGGCTGAGCGCAATCCAAAAGTGAATTTTGGATCCTACAGAAGCAGGTTTTTTTTTTTACCCACAACGCACGACTGAACCGGAGCCACTTATTCCCATGATGTCACTGTGTGGGCTTCAGGCAGGATCGCTCACCCCGACTGCAACACAGAAATCCAGTTTTATGTTTGACACTTTCCAGATGACATCTGCAGGGCTTGTTTTTAAAGGGTCGTTCAAATTACAAAATGCAAACAGGTTGCAGAAACTGCGAAATGGGGTTTATTATGAATAATGCACATTTTTTTATTCCAACAACCACAAACCTATTTTTTATGAAACCTGTCAAATGTTTTACCTTGTTGCTCAGTCTACAAATWAGCAGAAATTAATTATTTTCATTAATAATTCAGCATTTAGCATTCACACAATAATAAAGCCACGACTTAGAAGGAACCTGACATTTATTTTAAAAATGTTTTGATTTTTAAAAACTTTTCAAATCCAAACAGAACAGATTTCCAGCTCAGATGGTCTGATCCACAAGTTTAGTGGTTTTACATCATATTTACTGTGATATTCAGTCTAAAGTACCCCAGTCTTTATAAACAAACAAACAAACACACCAAAAGCCCAACATGTGGAGATTTTCTAGATTACATTGCTTAAAGGGATTACTGAGTTTTTTTTTTCCTTTGGCATGCAAGAAATATTTTAGATCTGGAGTCTTTCTTTTTGTTTTCTGTTTGTTGTTCGTCTCGTTTCATCCCGGCCATGTTTGAGCACACTTCATCTGATGCAAATGAACATCCTGTGCAGAACTTGATGACTGAAATAGAACCTTGAAAACAAATGACGCTCATTAAGTGACAGTTGAGCTTTTCGTTAAGTTTTCCACAAAATGTATCMTCTTCCAAACAAGGACTGGCACGCTGCTCAGAACATCTCAGATACGTGTTATGTAAATCTCTGCTGGCTGAAGTGGAAGCTCAGAAATCAGCCCAAATGGCCTTTGTTCCTGTAACAATCGTCGTGACTGTTTTTGACTGATTTGATGGTAAAAATAAAACAGGAGAAACGAGTTAAAGACTCACTGGGGAAAAACAGTGAAATACGAAGCTGTTTTTTGTTTTATTGCTCCTTTGTATTATTTTATGTTGTCCTGTAATTATTCTTTTAAATCTAAACTCAAAAATTATTTTAACAGATGAACAACCGCAAAACTAATTGGGTTTGACACTAACCATGTTGTCCCTTGTATCAATTTTCTTCTCCCAGATGAATGGGCGGAGTCTAGCACACCTAAGCCAACGGGATGCCCTGCGTCTCATCGCAGCCAGTCAGCGTCCAATCACCTTGCAGATCAAAGGCCAGAGGAGGCGGGGYACTGATGCAAGCAGGGGGTCCTGGGAACCACTTCCCCTCAACCTGCAGCACCTCAACCTACCTCTTCCACCTATGGGGGCGGGCATGAACACGTCTAGCCCCTCCTACCAAGACAGGTACACAAAGATTATGTTTAAAAGCTTTTATTTTGACTGTTTTAGCATCCATATTCATTGTGTCAAAAGCAATAATGTTCAAAATATACAAGTGGTTGCATTTTTGATTCCCTTTTTTTTAGAAAACCATCTTTAAAAAATAGTTGTTTTTCTTTGTTTTGTATAAAATAATTATAATGCTTAAAATGTATCTTGTGTTTTAATGCATTTAAGATTTCCCGCTTAATTCAGCAAGAAATGTGCAATCAGGAGAAGCAAATTAGCATTTTACATAATAAAACACTCAAATGTAAATTTTTCATCCGTTGGAAAAAAAGTCTTAAATTGTTTCAGTTTCCTGCATCTTTTAAGAGATAAATTTAGCAGATTTATCATCGTTATTGATGGACTTTACAACRATTTCTGAACAAGCATGCACACAGAGACCTATTTTAAAGATTATGTTTAGAAAATATGTATTTTTGTCTTCTCAGACATTATTACAATCATCTGTCTCTGCCGCAAGACCACTGTGATGCGGGACGATACAGCTACCTGTCGAGTTCTCCGCAGGACACAGTGGACATCAACCATCAAGTGAGCTAATAAAATAAACAAAACAGATTTCCTAAAAAAAAGTGTTAAAATCAGTGAACGTGGCTTGCTGTTTGTGTGCACTTTAGTAATAAAGTTTAATCTGGAAACTTTCAGGATCTAGAACTTGCTGGCCGTCGAACAAAGAGACGGAACTGCCTGACGGGATGTTGCAACGCTGACTTAGATGAACCGACCACCTGCAACAGCCAGGTATCTGCAGTTTTACAGCAGAGATCAGATTCCCTCTATGATCAGTAAATTATTCTGGATTTAAAGAAGGGCTGAATGATTGGAAAACAGGCAATTTTCTTGTTGAATATCGTAAAACGAACACGTTCACAACACTGTTCATGTGAATGCTGGTGGGCGTTTAGAGGAAAGCGAGTCCATTTCTGTGTTGTTTTCATCCAATTTGTGTCTGCAGCGTTTTGGAATACTTTGTGATATAATTATTATGTACACTGATATTGTGATATCATCACCAGTTCAGGCCAAATCCCTGTAGGATAAAAACTCCTTTGTGAGCCCCGCTGCTCTAATTTAATTACCCCTAATTACCACAGACTCAATCTCATAAACAACATTTTACTATTTTATGTGAGTTGTGGATGTCTTTAACCACTGTAACATCTTAAATACACCCGTTAAGTGATCATTGTCATTTTTTCAGAAATAAATAGGAAAAAAAGAAACAAATCACCACCACAGGGAAACGTGTGCATGCTGATATACAAATATATATTTAAAAAAAAGAGAGAATTTCGTTTTACTGAAATTTTACTTTCAATCTGGATCCAGATTATAGGCCAGGGATTTGGCCTAGATCCAGACNCTTTTGGTAATTTCAGCACGGTCAAAATAAGGAAGTCTTACAGTTTTTAAACTCTATTTTGGTTAAAGATACCTGAGCTTCTTCTGAAAAAGATATACAAATATATATTTTAAAAAAAAGAGAGAATTTCGTTTTACTGAAATTTTACTTTCAATCTGGATCCAGATTATAGGCCAGGGATTTGGCCTAGATCCAGAATAGGCCGCAGTCCTCCTTTTGGTAATTTCARCACGGTCAAAATAAGGAAGTCTTACAGTTTTTAAACTCTATTTTGGTTAAAGATACCTGAGCTTCTTCTGAAAAAGATAAAAAAGTGAAGGGGAGGTATGCAAAACCACTTTTTTATCTGTTAAATACATTTTGTTGTGGATTTAGAGACTCTAGGAGTGCAGGAAAGTTACTAAATAATTACCAAATAAGGTCTGGACTTACCAATTATATTTCTTTGTCTTRATTCTCTGGTTCTGGGYCAGACTCTGGTTCTGGGTCAGACTCTGGCTCCAACATGTAAGGCTGGATGGACAAGTCTTCTGTTGTTGACATCTTTAACTTAAATTGTAAATAAAACATTTCTGCTAGCTAGAAAATGTAACCGCTCTCTCTCTCTCTCAAACCGGAGTGGACCGGTCTGGAAGCCGGARGGGGGCGGGGCTTGAAGCTTYTTAAAGGAACAGTATCAAAACRAGCTGCTTTGAGACACACCAGAAAAGGGGTGAAAGAGGAGCTGGTAAAGTTAGAATAATGAAGAATTCAGACCAAAGTTTTGTAGTTCCACTTTATAAAGACTCCGACTGAATAATTTAAACGTGAAAAGGAGGAATTTAAAAGCAGGATATGTCTACTTTAATATGAAACAGATTTAGCTTCTTAACCAAGGGTTTAACAGTTTATTTCCTCATTAGTTGAGATTTAGTTTGTACTGAAATCATTTTAAAGGTAATCATGTCTGTTCTTGCAGACCGATGATGAGGACTTCATACTGGAGAAGCCACTGGGCTTCATGCCTCTTCACCATGAACTGGATAGTGGACTGGGCTGGACCGACGGCTCCCTTCACCAGGGAGACTTGTCAGGGCTGGAGACYGAAGAGGGAGGTCTGGAGGACTGTCACCCACATGGGAACCACGCGGCGGCAGGCTGCGGGGGGTTCGGCGGCGGGGGCTCTCCATCCTCCGAGTCCTTCATCTCCTCGGAGCTCAGCGACTCGGGCTTCTACAGCGTGAGCACCGGGGAGTTCAGGCACTTCCAGAGGCTGCTGGAGAAGAGGATGCGTCTGTACAACGCAAGGATGCAACATCAGGGCGAACCGTGCGAGAGACGGGAGAGGAGGGACAGCTGCCCCAAGAGCCACCGCGAGCTGCTGGAGGCCATACCGGAGGCACTGACGATGCAGCCTCAGTGTCAGCACCTGCAGCACGGCATGGAGGACGGAGCTGGACCCATGATGGATGTCCCACCTCGTGGACTTTTCAGGTAATTCTGGGATTACATAAGAGTGACTTGTTTGAAAACCCCACAAGAATATGAAGCTTGAATTATCATAAAAACAGACCTGTTCTGTACATTTAAATAACCCACTCCTCTTCTTTTAAACTCTGGAACTGGGCTATTCTGAATGGCTCTGTTTAATAGCCTATTCAACTAACTTGTTCTGGGGGCCACAGTTACTGGTCAACAGCTCAGGGGCCGAACATCCAGCAGTTAAAGTCATTATGTAAATAAACCAAGTATTACAAAGATCTGTTACCTTTGAAATAGTTTATTTTGCCACATTTAAGGGCTCGACACACGGGAGGCGACGTCGCTCGCTCTCCATTCATTTCCTATGGAGCCTGTGCGGTGAGGCGACAATCGCTCGCCCTCCTCCAGCTAAGCGACCGGCGAAAATAGTGCACGTGAAATTTCGCGCTTGTACACGTAGACGTGCGAGCTTGCGACGCGACATATGAAAGTTGAAAAATGTTCAACTTTTGTC